AAATTTACAAACTTATATTTAATATCAAAATCTTTAGAACAAGAAAAATATAAAAAAATAATTGAAATATTTAGTTTGTGTGACGAAGTGAAATTACACACGTTTACTGACTGTGAAATTACACCAAATGATGTCGAATCACAGTCAGTTGTTGTATTTGATGACATAAATAGTCCAAATATTACACAATTTTTCTCAATGGGTCGACATAAAAATATTAACTGTTTTTACCTGTGTCAATCTTACAGCAAAGTACACAAACATTTACGTGATAATGTAAATTTCCTAATATTATTCAAACAAGATGATTTAAATTTAAAACATGTATATCACAATCATGTTGGTAATGACTTTTCATTTGAACAATTTAAAAATCTCTGTCATCAATGTTGGGATAAAACTAAATATGGCTTTTTCGTAATAGACAAAGAAAGGTCAAAGAATAATGGCAAATATAGATTTATGTTTGATCAATTCTATCAAGAGGATGGTAAGGGTAAATAAATAAAAGACTGAAGTTTTTTAACATTTGCATTTATTATATATCTACACATACAATTTATTGAACATCAATTTTATAATGACCAAGTGCAAGAGTATTGATGCCATCTTCTAGAATAAACCTCTTGTCATCGTCAAATGATAGTACTTTCTTGTTCATGGTCAAGGTTTGAAGATGATGATTTGTAGATTTTATCCTTGTCACATTCTCATAGTAATCTTGCCCAGTTGCAAGGCAGTTCAAATAATGTTGATGTCTGAGGAGATGTTTAACTGTGGCACCATCAGCTCCTTTAGCTTTCTTCACCTCTAAAGCTTGCTTGTCTTCTTCATTTAACCATTTTAGAGGAATATAAGAATATAACTTTGGTCTTAAACCACAATATTCATACATAATATGACCATCTAATTCGTCTTTAAACTTGCCAGTGACTTTTTTATTTTTATCAGAGTATAAGAAATGGTCTTTACTATATCCAGAGGTATCAAAATAGTGCAAGTCACATTCTATTTCCTTGTAAAAATCCTCTGTAACTATAGAATACATTAAAGAATCTGTATCTGTCATAAGAAATCTTTTGTTCTTAAATTTTGACATATAATTATAGTGAAAATCATACATTATTACTTTACTAATATCCAAAATTGTCATTCCTAAATATATAGGTTTATTAAACTTTACAACTAATTTATTTAAATGTATAGCATGTAAATTGTTATCGAACTTTTTGCTACAGTCAAACCTTGGATTAGTGACATATTTTGTTAATAGTGACTCATCTTTGAGATATATGTCACGAAACTTGCGTTGATTCATAATTGTTCGACCAAAGAGACTATTATTTAACAATTTGTAAAAGTCTTTTTCAAAATCATTTTTAGCACATTTGCGTTTTTCAATATTAAAATTAATATAGGGTGCAAGCCATTTGGACTGTCTAAATTTTAAAATTCTATGGTATTTTGTAGCAACCAAACCCAATTCCTCATATTTTTGTAATGCTTTATAATGTAAAATATATTTAGTTTTGTCATTTAAATTAGGTATTAATTTGCCATTCATTTTCTCAGGTGCTAATGGATAGTCATTATGTAAATCATGTAAGCTTTTATCATATTTTAAATCAACTTCTAAAATGTATCCAAACTCATCATTTTGATTATATTTGTAGTCTATCTCATTAGTCCAACAGAATTCATCCACAGGCAGTGGCTCGCACATAGCTGTGGAGTATAGCGAGTTACAATCTAAATATATTAAATACACACTCTCTTGATTGGGATCATAATGTTCGCCCATATATCTATTATTGGCTTTAGCGTAACGTGTGGAAATCATACTGACTCCTCCTCTGATTGCACTTTCTATGAACAAATGCATGTCAATATCTTGAAATAATTGTAATTTTATACCAGTCATTCTAAGACAGGCTTCCCATGTTAGTCCTGGAAGTGAATACATATGTACGGGGTCAAGTTTGTAATCCTTTAAACACAGGTCTCTAAATGTCTCAAACACATCAGCCAGTAGCAATACATCTGTTTTAAGATATAAATCATGATATTCTTGTAAATTATTTATATTAAAATGGGACCATACATTTTTAGCATGTTCATATTCAATGGGAGAGATATGTTCTTTAGTTAGAGTACTGTAAAATTTATCAATTGGAGGTAGAGACTCTGCAAACTTATCTGGTCCCGTCATGTATTCATAGGGAAATACACCTTTACGTTGTAGTAGTGGATTGTCTATGAATCTAAATGTATTTAAATTGGAAGCTAATTTGTATAATGGAAGGGACAGAAAGTTATAGGAATCCAAAAATACTAAATCATCAACTGAGAATGAAATATACTTTTCCATATCCTTGGCTATGCAATTTAATTTACGATCAAACTTTCCCAAGTGTTGCATTATTAAATTTCCATCATAATTTTTCAAGTTATGGAAGAATACTGGTATTTTCTTTGTTACTTTATAGTTTAAATTACAATCATTATGGGCAGCTCCACGGTAACGGCCAGATGAATGACAATGATCACGTACCCTATCAAAATATAGGGGCTTTTCACAAATGTGACAATGCGTTGAGTTTTGGAAAGATGCCTCTTGTTCAGGAGTCATTACAAGAGGAATATATATCGCCATTTGACTTTTAATGAAGTCATAAGTCTCAAACAACCTTTTGAAAAACACGTCCATAACATTTTCACCACTATATAACTCTTCAGAAATAATCTTAGACTCTTTCACTACAACGAATGCAAATCCAGATGGAGTATGATTGTTTGAGTTTATAAAACATTCAAAATCTGCATAAATCACAAATGGGGCTTTAAGTTGATATTTATAATTTTTAAATTGTAATGTATCTTGTTTAGACATTTCCACTCGTTGGGCATCAAAGTTTTTACAATATGTTATATGACGCTCCAATTTATCATTAGTGTAAAAATGTTGTAAACACAGCTTACAAAAATGCTTCTTATTGTTATGTTTTGTAGACCGCAGCATTAACCTATTAAAATCACGAATTAAACAATAATGTGATTTACGACCTTCTTGTAATAATAATAAATCTACGTGAGTATTACTATTCAGTTTAGTTGTTCTTAATGGATATATACATTTATCATCTTCAACCCCAAATACATTAACACTTATATTATTTTGTCTTTCAAATTTATCTATATCAGCTAATTTCACAGGATACTTTATGTTTGTCATATTCAACTGACCTATGTAGGGTGCATAATTGGAGACTCTATTAGCATGTTCATTAGAGTTCCTTGGATATAAAGCTGCTAAAATTGACCAAAGGAAGCATTTATTGTCAACATTTCTTATATTTAGAACTGCATGTTTCGATTTAATACTCTCTGGTGTGGGGATATATGACTTTGGAGTTAGGGGCTTATACTTGTAAACATGCAGCTGCCAATATTTAGTATGGTTATAAATCCATCCACTACCTTCGGCTTGATATTTGTGCATGGAAGTGTCAATCTTTAAAAGAGCATTGTCAATTTGAGACTTTAAATCTCTCTTCTCAATAGTTAAGGTGGTAAGGCTTCTAAAATCTGCAATACATTCTTTCTCATTAACTAATTTTCCATTTTGATCCACTGAATATTTTATAAATTTGATTCTCCTAACTAAAGTCCATTTTATTGGCACAGGACAAGATTGAAGAGCATTTTTAAGTTCAGCTCTAATCGATTCACAAACAAATTTAATCATTGTATATGGACATTTATTGCAAGAATTGACATGTCTTTTAAAATGACCAACAACATTTTTTTTACAAAAGTTACAATTCTTATGCCTTTGTAATATATGCAATTTTAGAGCCACATTATTATCACAGATTAAATCACAAACCTTGCACAGTTTCACCTTCATTTGGTGTATTAACTTGTAATGACGGACCAAATTGCTCTTCTTGGACAGCGAGGCGGGACACAGTGTACAAGTCAGCATCACGCTCATGAATGAAATACCACCCGGATGTCACTTCTATATATAGACTCTCGCCACCTGGGGATTCCCCAGTCGCATGACCGCTTCACTTGATCCGTGTGGCAGTGCCCGCGGCCGGGAGCGCGCCCGAGTTCGCGTACAAACCTCAATCGATTTTGAGAATATACATGTGGATGGATGTGGATTTGAAATAGTAATGGTTTTATACAATGGTATTGAACATTTATATAGGGGTGTATAGGCCAAGAGCTGGATTTTTAAAAAAGTGGTCAAAAAAAGCTCACCATTTCCAGACGTGTTTTTCAGTATTAAAAAAGTAAAAAATTTATATATGGGTGTATAGGTCGAGAGCTGGGTCCTTAAGAAAAGTGGCCAAAAAAAGCTCCTGGGGCTTCGGACATTTTTTTCGCCGAAAATTTTAAAAGTTCTGGGCCAAAAAACGCCGGAAGTGGCGTCTCTTTCTCCTATTGTCACTACTGGTAGTCGTAGCAAATTCTTAATTTCTTCTACCAATCCAACGTAAAATTGTATAAATTATGTTTTCAGTGTCACACAACAATAATTAATATTAACACAACCATAAGGATTTGACTCTAAAAAAGAGCTTTAATTCATATTCATATACAATTTGCCTCCAGGATTTATTTATTGACATAAAATGAGGTTACTAACCTGTCGTCAATCAGTCCTATATTGTCGTGGTTGATAATAATATCAGGGTTAAAACCCGACTCAATTCTGGTTTTGTCCTCGGCCGGCATCGCGCGCTTGTACATGATTTTGAAAATATAAATCTTTCTGTATGTGTTTATGTGTGATGTATTTTTGACGATGGCTAATGCAAGAAGATATGTTTAACCTATGAAGACTGAAGAGAATATTTTAAAATGGGGTTTAACCCTGAAACTATAGTCATCCACGACTATATAGGACTGATTGACGACAGGTTAGTAACCTAATTTATGTTTAATTCATACCTCTTATCAGTAGAGCATAACCAGTTTATTTGTTTTAGGTCAACATCAGCAGTGTCTGGCTACTTCCAGAGGAAGGGTTTCCAGTATTCTATCGTTACTTTAAAGACCGGATCACCTGGTTTGAGGCAGACGCTGTGTGTCAATTCCACCACGCTAATTTAGTCACAGGCAAGTAAATAAGTTGTTTTAAAACAGAGTCAGAAATCGTATATTTCATCACTAGAGGGTTTAGTGACTATTTTCGACCGAGAGTTTTATGATCGAGGCGAAACTGAGTTCGGAAAATGAGTGAGGGTTGAAAAGACACTTCTATTACATTACATACATTACACTATAATTTAAACAAACTAAGTAAAAACTATAACCTCTCAAAACGACTTGTAACTTGTTTTAAATTTTTCTAATGCAAACAACCAGATGTTTAGCAAGGCATTCAATTATTTCGCCCGTTACAATAATTGTATTATCGTACAAGAATAACATTACAAACAGACAAGATTTCAACTATGTAAGCTACAACCGATTAAAACAATCGATAGGCTTTTTTGATACAATCCAAATCTACCTCTGAGTACACACACACACAGCTGATTTTACTTCCTAGGGATAAAAAAGGCTTTTTACTCCCTAGAGAGGAAAATAGCTGCTTTAGACACAGAACAAATGTACTATAATCAACTGTTTTGCTACGGTATGACGAAAACTGTTTAAGCTTTAGATTGTCTCGATAAATTATTGCTTCTTAAAAATCTAACACTGTACAATTATATACACTGTACGAGGAATTAATTACTACCAAAACTGCACCATCGCAGCTATTTAAACTACTGTAGTATCTTGTACCCGTAAAATGATTGTTTAAATAAACAAACCAATGAATAAATCGTCGGATCGATGGACACAGGACAGATGCGCATATGAATGGATTAATAGTTAGTTACGCTTCAAGGCTGTTCACGGATGCGGATGAATTCGTGATCGGATGGAATAATGGAAAGCTACACTGATTGAAAAATTGACGGATGTAAGAATGATTGAACAAATAAATCAGCAAATGAATGATTAAATAATAATAATAAGCTGTTACTTGACAACTATTCGTGACAACAGAAATGTATTGTGAGGTAAATTAGTTAGATTGAGGTGATGGTGTTTCCGCAAAGTTATTTATCATTCACAACTTGTTCAGCACACAGGCAAGTTTTGCCAAAGTTTGCAAAGCACGGATGCATTTGTAGGAAATTCCTGCTATTGTAATCGCAAACTTTAACTTGGAGGATAACAACTATATAAACTAGTTTGAGCTATTCTTATGCTAATCATATCTGTTATTTTGTAGTTTTGAATAATTTTTCTGAGTAGTAGTTTTTGTTTTAAAGCATATTGTTTTACACTGACATATATTATTATATATCAAATATGTATGGAATATACTAGGTCAAACCATAAACTTCCTTCGGTAAAGAAATATTTTATATGTATAATTGTTTAATTGATAATTGAAAAGTAACCTGAAAAAATTATTAAGTATTGTTTTTGTACCAAATTAAGTGCTGTAACCTATGCATAATTAAGTTATATAATCTACACATTTCCCATAGGAGATGTCCCTTCCATCAAGAGCCAATGAAAACATTACCCACCACAATGTTCTGCTTAAGGGTATATTATTACTAAACGTTACGGTCTTGACCTGTAGCCTACCAGTTTCATACTTATTAATATAACGACGTTAACTTTGTTTCATTTAGATTCAACTAGCCCCGTTTAACTTCTTAATTTTCAAGATTATCTCGTTCGCATGGCTCAATCACGTCCTGGTTGAATTTTGTTCGCTACGCTCACTCACCTTTAGGTTGGAGCTCGTTCGCTACGCTAACTCGCCTCCAGGTTGAAGTTCGTTCGCTACGCTCACTCACCTTTTGGTTGCAAATTAGCTGTTGTCATAAATGTAAAAGAAATAATAGTGCTGCACCCTGTTGGTAATCCTTGTAACTTTAATGCTATTGAACATCATAGAACAGAACCAACTTGTTTAATTGAAACACCTGTTAAGATTCAATAATTCCATTTCTCATAAGGTTAACATGGGAAACTCCAGAGCCACTGGGGCGGAGGCCGAAAGGATTTTTGAAATAAGAATATGCCTATATGTTAATCGGGAATGTGAGCTATCATCATGCCAAATTTCAGCCCAATCCGACCAGTATTTTTCGAGTTTACTTTTCCCATACACACATACACACATACAGCAACCACCTCTTTTTTATAATAGTACTAGCAGAGTACCCGTCCTTCGTACGGGGTTGGCATATAAGTATCAAATGCTTATAGCAGTTATGAGTGAGGACATGGTTTAAGAAATTTCGGTTCTTTTTGAAGTTCGTTCGCTACGCTCACTCACCTTTAGGTTGGAGCTCGTTCGCTGCGCTCACTTTCCTTCAGGTTAGCTCGTTCGCTACGCTCACTTGCCTTCAGGTTAGCTCGTTCGCTACGCTCACTCGCCTCGAGGTTGAAGTTCGTTCGCTACGCTCACTCACCTTTTGGTTGCAAATTACCTGTTGTCATAAATGTTAAAGAAATAATAGTGCTAGTGCTGCACCCTGTTGGTAATCCTTGTAACTTTAATGCTATTGAAAATCATAGAACAGAACCAACTTGTTTAATTGAAACAGCTGTTAAGATTCATTAATTCCATTTCTCATAAGGTTAACATGGGAACCTTTGCTCCAGAGCCACTGGGGCGGAGCCCGGAAGGATTTTTGGGATAAAAATATGCCTATATGTTAATCGGGAATATGAGCTATCATCATGCCGAATTTCAGCCCGATCCGACCAGTAGTTTTCGCGTTTACTTTTCCCATACACATAGACACCACCTCTTTTTTATAATAGTATAGATAGAAGATAGATAGATTAATTTGTAGTTCTAATCCACGTGTTTTACAAATCGAATATTTATATAAAGGAAAATGTATTTTTACAACTATTTAACTTAATATTGTGGCATAAGTTAATTCGTTAAAAATAATCACTTTGCATGGTTATTGTGATGCATCTTATAAAAAGAAAAAGTTTATATTGCATAAATGATGGAAAATGTATGAGTACAGTACCGGTCACTATTGACATTTTGTCACTGAGAGTACTTGTGACTATATAATCTTTCATGTATGTTACATGAAAGAATGTTCATTGTATTTTACATTATACAACATTACTAACATGGAGTTTGTTGTTGCAGTGGACTCCAGCGAGCAGTACGATGCTACTAGGGCGTACCTCAAGGAGTTAGACGTGTTAAACAATGTTTGGGTGGGACTCAAGAGGAGCCGTGCAGAGGGAGAGTTCACATGGACGTACGTAAACATTATAATTGAAAGAATTTTATTATTATTATTTACCTTCTTGGTTTTTATTTTTGTAACCTGCAATTTTTACTAAAGAACGAAGAGAAAATTCTTTCTTTACGTTCGGTAGAGCATGAAGTGATTTATCTGTTACCGGTATGCATAATGTTTTTTAGACATAGTATAAGATATTTTCTATTTGAATCCATCTTAGTGGCGTCATTTCACCAAATCCTTGGGGGGGGGGGGGGCAAACACCGGGGGGAATGTAGTCCGGTAGTTTTGAAACCAAAAAAGAGGGGTTTAAGCTTATTTTAATTGTCAAAAGCACTTAAAATAAAAAAAAATTATGAGTAAAATTTATATACATTAAGGCAGAAAGTTAATGAAACTAAGAATTATTGACAACAGACAGAAACACAATAATTTTATGTTGAAACGTGATCAATAGTTCCATGATGCATTAATATTATGTTTGTTATTCGATTCATGACCAATTTCTCTTGTACAACATCAACCACATAGATACTGTTAACACTGTTCTATGAAATGGCGACCATACAAAGTAGGTATTTTAAGCCAAGTATGAATGGAGATGAGTGAAGGATGAGTGGCACGATCTTGTAGCTTTGTTAGTGACTAAGGCCGACATTCCTTAGACACAGCTGTTAATTAGTAGCCCATACAGCTAATGGTAACTAAGGGACCTACAGTTTATAGTGGAATCCTAACCACATTTTTGCCTTGGTAATTATGAATTGGTCTAATTATCAGGATAGTACTGCGGATAGACGTTGTACTCACCCGTGCGGACGTTAATCCACACCAGGGAGTATCGCATCCACAGTGCATCCTTATAAATATCCACAATTTATGACCTCCTAGTAGCTGGATTACAGGACGACTACTGCATTACTAGATGCATGTCTCCCAAGTCTATCTTCTACAGCTTTGACAAACGTTCTATCTGGCAATACCCAGTAACTTGTTAGCTTGTACGGAATTAATTATTAGGTAATTTTTATGCACAGTGACTACAAACCTCTTGAGAACGGCGGCTACTGGCAGGAACAGATCCCGCTGATGGACAACCCTGTGTGTGCGGCCCTCGATCCTGCGGCGGACTACCGCTGGCACCCACTCAAGTGTGGCGGGCCAGAGGTGGCGTCCTTCATCTGCCAGCTGGAGGGTATGTTTGAACTCATATGTTAAGAGAGGATAGGATATTAAGACATTTCCTCTCACAGAGAAGTAAGTTACAGAGGAAACTAGCTTATGGGAAAACCACACGCTTACATCTCTAGTATGATGTGCTGGAATACTTGTGACGGTTAAGGAGTTAGTTATATGTTGACATATGTACGGTAGGAGGCCCGAGTGGTGAGCACCATAGTAGCATAGACAAAAATAATTAAATATACCCTGTCAGCCGTGCTGCAGTTACCATAGTTACCATAGGTTCTGGCACACACCGCAGGAAGCGCCGTGTAGTTTACGTAGTGCGTACTCCGTAAGTGCATGGCACTCCCAGCGGTGTGCGTCAGAACCTATGGTAACCGCAACACAGCTGACGGTCTATATTTAGTTCTTTTTGTCTATGATAGTAGTAAAGGGGGTGGTGTTGGACTTTCCCCTAGACACGACCGGCTGGTGCTAGTCACCACTTAAGCGTTTCCTCTTTACCTTACTTCTCTGTGTTCCACAACAGACAAGAAGTGTAGATTAAATACAAGGTTTATATAAAACCATTGGTCAGGCTAGGTTGGATAAGTTCGGTCAGGTTGTAATAGTATCATTAGATAACATTAAATCAAACAGTAATTTTTCACTTAGATCTCCCCCTTTTATCCTGTTACTGAACCACATAAAAGGAAAACCTGCTACCTGTAGTTAGTTTGCTTATGTGTTGATAAACGTGTGAAATGCGTTTTTTAATTATTCAAAAATATATTGAACAATTAGGTTTGCACTTTAATAATGTCCAATCTGATGCTTGTTCATGTGTCACTCATCTTCTGTATACTTGTAGTTCCCTCCTGGGCGCGCAAGGAGGACGGCTGCATGTTGACGTCACTACCCTCTCTCACCGTCACTTACCTACCAGAGCAAGGAGCCGTGGAGCTGATCTCGGACTGTGGCCTGGAAGGGACTCGACGCATTGCTTGCAAAGGACAAGCCGTAAGTTTTCCGAGAACCTTTGTGTAGGAAATTTCCCTTTCTAACCAAAATTTCGTCTGATTTATTTTCTTCTTTACGAACGATGATTTTATGGACTTATATCGATGGTTTTGTATGACTGCAATTGACTGTGTATTATTAACTATCTTATCAAATCGTAGGTATATTTATACAACTAAAAAGTCCTCTGAATTTATAATTTTTTAGTAAAGGAAAGTTTGTATGGATACGAATAATTACACATAAAAACCCATCTTGAAGTGAATAAAAAAATTAATATTTTTGACTATCTGTACTTTTTGTATCAATCCACTGATAAAAATGTATTTCCCAGAACCGAGACGAAATGATGAAGCAATTGTCTTGTGAGACTTCAACAGAAGGACAGACAGAGGCGACCAGCAGCAACACCTGGTCTGACAATGAAGTTCCTACCAGACACAGGAGAGATACTGACGTCACAGTAGACATGACCACTGTCCACCACTTGGTGCCTACTACTGAAGGTACGCTCTATCATGATACATGTAATTAACTGACATATACTCGAATGTCTAATTTGATGGAATGGTTTTTCATACTACAGTTCTAGTCACCGAGAGGCTTTTTGAAATTTGGAAACAAAATAGTCCAAAGGCACAGCCTGTAGATTAAATTATGAAGAAAGCTTATTGATGTGCATAAAAGGAGAAGTGGCATTATTAGAAATCTGCATCATTGAAACCGTCACTTATTTTTCTAAATGTTCATACAGTGTTATATATAATTAAAAAAAACACGTCATGACATTATTCAAAAATAAGGAAACGTATATTAAGTTATAGTTTACCATATAAACCCAGCCTTTTCACGCCTTTCTTGACCTTTCACTAGTTCGTTAGTAATGATATTTATATACAAGTGCCTATTGTATGAATCGACGATTCTTTTGTGTGTGGTTTATGTTCAGCAATGCTTATTTCTTTGTTTTCTTATCATAGCTTTTAGTGTGTGAGGACAATTCTTGTATTGTAATACCGCTTTGCAAGCACTAGTTTGTATTTGTAAATGCAATCCTATTTGGAATGGAATATATTAGGGACTATTAGTACATGTTTTTCCTATCCATCATATTTGCAGTAAAGAATCGATATAGGAATATAGAATAATAACATACGTTATTGATCTTTCAGGGCTGACAGAAGTGAACTCTGTCGAAGTGACGAATGACAGCCCTCCTGCGGAAGAACAGAAGGAAAACATGATGCAAACAACCAGTGATTCTGATATCACTTCAACTCAAGGACTGCCTCAAGAGATGTCTGCTGCCGAGGAACCAATCAAATCTGCAGTACCGGTAGATATTACAAACGACAAATCGGACGGCAACAAAATCATTGTCAATATAATTACAACAGCAGGAAATTTTACAGGCCAAGCAACTGAAGACAAAGACCTTTTAAACGAAACTCCTATCCAAATACCATTGAATTCTATATCCAGAATAACATCAGATGAATCAGGCAGCACTGAGACCAAAAAACAACCAGAAGAACGACGGGTCGTTGCGGTACAGTCAAAACCGATCCCACCATCTCTTAGAGGTAACACACCCTTCATAGAGCCTGCCAATAAGACTGAGACAGAGAAAGACCACACAGTCACCCCAAAACCTGTGGAGAAAGAGTCACATGAGGTATTCAGAGAGAGTAAGTCAGACATACTGTTAAAAGCTCAAAAGCAAGATGTAAAAGCAGTCAACTTTCCACCACTTTCTGTCTATAAAGTTAACAAAGATGGGGAACCAGATGAATCGAGCTCAAGGATTGAACAGACCCCTGCTAAAAACGTAGACCCCACATCGGCTGCACACACAACACCAGCTGTTGATAAAACAGAAATCCAGGAGTCATCCGACTCCAAGTTTTTCACAAGAGTAGTGGTTGATGAGATCACACAAACTACTCATCAGCCAGATGTTAAAGTAACAGCCAAATCCAACACTGACAATGATTTCTTCATTGCCACTGAGAGTCCAGTAAAGAGTGCAGAAATATCCATAAAAGTCACAGAAGTGACTTCTTCTGTCGTAACTGAACAGAAAAATGAAAAGGATCTACCAGGACAGGATCCAAATGGTGACTTAAGCAAGCCATCGTCCCTCTCCGACCAGGAAATGGCGGACGAAGCCGAACCCGAGGCACCTGAGAGACCGAACCGTGGCCGTCTTTTAATAAGACCCCAACACCATTCATTCTATCCTTATTTCTTCAACAGGGTCCTAGGTTAATTTCCGTGCACGTTTCTTTACGGTTCTTTAGTTAAGTACTAGAGAGTATTACGTTTATGAATGGTGCATACGTGTACATTATATGCTTAGAAATTTTGAATATGGGATTCACTATATAGATTAGCAAACAAACACAGCATTTCACTTGCTCTTTAGACACTCAATTAAACATAGTTAAACACTGTAGTGCTTTATTATGTTTCGTGCTTGTCATACTACCATATACCTAATTCAAATATGAGCACAAGTTGAATCCCTTATTTAAAACTGCATGCTGGCACAAACTCAGAAATGCACAGTCACTGGTTCAATTATTATGCACCGTCCTATCTCGACCCGTCCTAAATGCACAGCTAGCGAAAGACGCACAGCTAGTTTAGCGGCAATTCGTGTTAAATGTGCGCTTTTAGACATAATCTCTATGGGGGTGAAGTGCTCTTCTATTTCTACTGCTCGAATATATTTTGTACATTTAAATAATTGGGCCCTGCACTCTCTTGCGTTGTCTTAGAGTCAGTGTAATAATGTGATAGGGTTGTTAAATCTTACACTGCGAGTGTGAGGATAAGGTGTAAAGATATTTTAACTTAGTTAAGTGTTTTGGAAAACGTGTACAGTATTTGTCAGGGAGGAAGTGGTTTTTCTCAGGAAAGGCAAAATTATGTATAACATATTAGTTGTATTCTTTAAGCTCACGCTTTGAACTTTGTAAAGGACCAAGGCATTAACAAACACGCATTTATAAGCTGTTTTTAAATTCATTTGAGCTTTTAACTCCCCAGTGGGGGGATAAAGTAAGTTAAACCTGACAAAGACAGTAATAGAAAAGCCATCAGTAAGACAAAATCAAAACACTCATTGCAGTTGAAAATTAGCTGATATAAATTTTCACATCTTCGCACAGTGAGTATAACGAGCCATAATCATAAAAACATTGTAACTGCACCATTTAAAATATCTTAACCACGCTGCGAGATACACCAATAGTTAGTTTAGAATTTCTTATTTTACCACCAAAGCTGATTTCTCTGGGAATGATCTTCCATTCAATCCATAGTACCAAAAGGGTGTGCCAAAGTAACGTTAGGAAACCACTTCCATTTACTTGTATTAGCACAGACATTCTCGTCGTAATGTAGTTATACATTTTCTTGTTGTGCAGTGTTAAGTCTATGTAGAAATTTATTACGTTAGATATCTATTTTAAGAGAGTACATTATGAGAATAAGGTTGTACTTTGTACTGTAGGATACCTGTGCAACAGTAACTTAACCGGTTGTACTTTTATATATGTAAAAATAAACGCTTTGAGGGTTTCCAATATTGACTTCCTTATTTCCTTAGAATATTCATATGTACTGAAACCAGTCTTCTCGCTAGTAGTTATGCGCATAAGTAATAATGGTGTAGTTAAATAACTGTTCTTCTGCGATAAATGGTTTAGAGAAATATAAATACAAACTTAAGAAAGAGTATTTTAATCAAAGACGGTATAGTTGAAGACAAAGTAGGGTAATACCATTGTTACAGTTATTATGTTATAACTAATAAGTTTCAGTGAAACATATTGATCATTAGAACACCATAAGATGCATGTGTACAATATCTTTATACGACGAATCGGTACAACACATTTGCGATGAGCAATAGATGGAAACGTCTTTATTACGAATTCATTGATATTTGTTTGCGTTGATTGACAGGACAACAATCAAAGCTGATACCTCTTGGTAAATGTTTAACATACGTGTCAATTTCCCATCCCCTTTGATGGTGTGCAATCAACACACAATGATATTAGGTTTAGCTTTGACAAGATTCAATATGGCGTATAATTCATGTCTCTTGTAGAATAATGTACTAACTTTCATAGTTGAATATGTTGCGATTAAAATCCATCTATTATGGCATCATTAAAATACACCGATGATCTACGGTAAAATATTAGTGTTTTTCAATAACCGAAGCACTGTTTATTGTAATACATAAATTGTCTTTGGTTATTCCTCCATTGCAATTTAGTTTAGTAATGACTTGATTAGTTTGGTTGAATATGCAACAACAGTAATAATATACAGTTCACAGCCTAGTACATTGTTCAAAATTATAATCCCTTTCAAAAAGATAATTTCAGCATTTTCTCAAAGAGCTTTAAAATTAGGGTTGTTTGAGTAACTTGTTACATTCATATCAATTGCATATGGTATTTTATATTTTAACTATTAAGTTGTAATTGCACACCTTCAGTATTAATGTAAAATAAATTATTAATCAAGGTTTGTTTTTTTGTTATCAGTATTCAAAGTGGGTACCAGTGTTTCCAATGACCTTTAAACCACTAGCTTAAACTGATTAAATGTATAATATTTTTATTTATAAATACTTGCAAAGGAATAGTTTAACTTACACTAGAATTGCTGATACACGAAGAGCCAACTAGATAATTAATCCCAAGAATCTGTTGTTTCAACCTTTTTGTAGCTTAACTCTTTCCTCTAACCTAGTAATTTAATTAAGGATTTCACCCAAGCTTAGGCGTTATCTTCCTTTCTATTCGGTTTTATTCGATACGGTTGAAATAAAGTTCTTCAGGTTTTATGGCGTTTCTCACCTATATGCTTTAAATAGTTAGGATCTTTTCGAGATTATGATTATATGGAAAATCATTATCACTATAAATTAGGTAGTTTAGTAATTGAGATTTGTGAATACAATATCACTTAATCTGATCTGCTACACAGTTGTATTTATACTTAACTAATAAGCGTAAAACGTATATTCTATCTATCCCATATTATATGTGAAATTACGTGTATATTATTTAAAAAAAATGAAATCTGTTACTTTTAATAAGAATAATTTTCAGATATATCATTGGTATTGGCCAATGCTAATGGTTTTTTAGACAAGTGAAGCTATTTCCAAAATGTTACTCCAAAAAGTGTAAAAATATTATTTGTAATTATGAAAGAAAAATAAAATTGGTCTAAAGATAAAAGTGTAGACTTTAAATTTATATATTAATTTAATATCATAGATTAGTTCAAGTTACAATTCATATTATTATACATAAAATCTATGTAAACAATAAGTGCTTGAATACTGACTGTCTGTATAAATAGATAAATGGCGTATCCCTAAGCCCTGTATATCATCCATATGCTACGTAGGATGAGAAGGAGTACAGGTGGCTCAATTTACATATCTCCTTGTGGCATCTGGATCAATCTGTGCATGACGTCACAGTGGAAACGTGTAAACTAGTTGTTGTTGCTGTAACTTATAAACATTTCACTTACTGAAGCATTGAGTGACTATTAACATTCGTCTGTGTAGCATGGCATCCAAGTTGATCGATAAGTCAGGTCAAATTATGTTCACTGTTTATGTCAGATTGTGAGTTGTGTCTCCAATTTTCTGGAGACATTGTTATTTATTATTTATGAAGATTACACAAGTATTCAAGAAAGACAGGTGATTCACTTTACATACTGTTCTATCAGTTAAGTGTTAGACTGGATCTGTGATGTAAGTTTTGAGATTACAGTAACTGTTACTAAAAAATTCCATAGAAGTAAGGAATATTAAGCGCAGAAAAACGCTTTAGTGTATTAAATTATTTTTTTTATAAGCTTTACACAATGGTTTAGAAAAAATAATATTTTTATGTTTCTGGTGATTAAAAGTGGGAAAACGCCAACTTTTACCAAATAAAGCCCCATATAAACGACCGTTTCCATTAGGTAACATCTACCTTAATACAATCAGATACAACTTCCCTCAATCTGTAGGTAGGATGTGGAACTTCCTACGACGTGTGAAATGTGTGAACGACGAGGTCTCGAATTCAAATCCCACGTATCACAAATTTATTTTATGTAACTAAAAGAGATAATGCCGAAACCTCTTGACTTTAGCCGAAAACAATCCCAAGCTAAAGTGTGATAAAAAAGCTTCCCTAAAACTACAAAGGTATATTGTACTCTGTAAAAATACAGAGTAGGGTACATTAATTTCAAACCAGTTTGATTTAAATGAAAGCTTCACCAAAACTGTATTTATTATTATTTTTATGAAGCCTTTCGCCAGCCTTATAATATAAGATGCACATAGCCATTATAAACCTACATTTTCAAACACATCGCAACAACTGAAGATTGTGTTTACAATAAGTTTGATTTATTAGTGAAAATCACAGGTAAATACAGTGCAAAGTGAAGTTTCACTAAGAAATTTTTCCTACAAAATGTTGCGAGGATCCAGCGACTTGGCCACGTGCTGCAGATTGTTATGAGGAGCTTCATCCGACGTTCCATTGTTGTCTTACGACTTGGACGTAAAATGAGACCATCTCAGAAACATCGGCTTTTAACCCTACACCCTTACATCATCATAAACCCCCATCGTTAAGACGATAGTTTGATTGTTGTGTAGATTATGTGTAATGCCTGCATCACGATCATTAGGATTTGTGTAAAAATTGGTTACACATTTTGTTGTAAATGATTGTTAGTATAAAGTAAAACAATTTTTGAAAAACTATACAAAACTCGTGCGATGGATTCATTCATCTGTATTTCCTCATCGTAAGTTTTGATGTGTAAAAAGGGGAAAAACTTAATTTTCCAATTTAATATTATAAAAGTAAACCGTATAACATTTTACTTTTATTAAAATTTAGTTTTCAACAGTGGTCTACACGAAACAATATATATTCATTGCACGATGTTGCACTGCAAGGAAGCGTTCATGTATCTCGAGCCCGAGATGCTGAAGTACAGCCTGAATTATTGAATCTTCCTCTTGTAAAGTTTCTGTATCCTTTGATATTACAAGACGCTGAGGAAAACATATTCCTCTGAGCTTCCCTTGTTCTGTTTATATTAAAACCTTCTCTTGTAAATAGTTTAACAAATAATGGTAACTAAAACCTAAGTGTACCTAGTTAAAAACTATTTAAGTGTAAATATTTGCCAATACCGTGTTAAAAAACTATATTAACATTTTTAAAGTCTAAAATATATCTTGTTGATAGCTTAAGCTATTTTAAGTTTTTTTTTTATGGAATTTAACTTCAAATTTTTGAAAGTAATCCTACGATCAAAAGAGTTTCCAAATATCGTGATATGGAACCCGCTGGGTAGGCAGAGGGGATAAACGTGTTTCTATATCAGATTAGGAAGAGATTCCTTCCTCGTTACGCTGAAGCCTCTTACCTCTAGACATGATTATCTCTCTATCTTCCTTCCTCCTAAAAAATAGTAAAAAAAGAAAAACAATATAACTTGGTTTTGGAAAAAATACATATAACTAATTGATTTAATTTCTAATTCATATGAATTGAATTATTTTAGAACTCCTGTGCTACAGAAACGTATTATAACACCAACAACAACAAATATATATAATGGTTTTTTTTTTACTTTTTTGGCGTAATTATTGTGTGTTGTTTCCCTTCATCAAACTTTTTTGAAACCAGCCAGTAAAATATATAATGGCAAAATCCTAGGAGCTAAGTTTTGTCTGTATAAATATTATGAATGTATTTTTAAAGTAGCCTTTCTTTAATGTTATTCATCCAAATGCTATTCACCAGTATATTTGTGGTTTTATAATAAGATAGTAGTATGTTATTTAAAATTACTGTAGAGTTTTGTCATATTTGTAATTTAGCAAATATGTTAGTATTTATAATTTGAGAAACTAATAGAACAAACAATAATTTAACTACTTTACATCAACGCAAATTACAAAAAGACTTTTATTTTGCTTTTCACAATTATTATGCAAAATATTTTACCACTGGAATGATGTTTCATAAAAAATTTTATTTTTATACGCTCAATAATGTTTTAACTCTTTGCTAAATTTCGACTCCAAATTTTCACGTAATCTTATTACCTCAAATAAAATTTTAAATAAGTATAAATCAAAATATATTGTTTAACAATTTACTATTGCAACATACATTGCAACGTTGCATATATTGCAACATATTGCCTACATATATTGCAACGTTTACAGGACACGGCAGTTTTAAAGAGATAAACACGGTGCAGAGGGGTCAAAACCTCACCCTAGGGTATGTATTGATCAAGTGTATAATTTAGCACAATAGCGGTATCAGGAAAAACTTACTTGAATAAATTTTGTATGGAAAAACAAGTTTAATTCTTACATATACATATTCTTGTGCGTCTTGACTTGTTCTAAAAAAAACCCCGTTCGTTTTTTTCCTAGATGAGTAAAAGAGCTCTTAAATAAATTTTAAATGCAAGACTAGTATTACCCTGCAATTGGTTTTAGTTAGTTTTTTGCATA